GCGGTCGGTGGAGGGCGCCTCGCCCGCGGAGGAGGCATGTGGTGCGGACTGGGGCCTCTCGCCAGTCCCTGCCGAACCCATTGATTCCTCCATTCGCTCCACAAGTGTTTGGGTAGCCCCTGCAGTGCGCGCTGGAGTCCGGCGCCAGGGAGGCGCAGGGGCTGAACCCAGTTCACATAGGGGTGTGTTGGCGTTCCTGTGGGAGAGGCGGCATGGAAATCGGGAAACTGAGGCACGCACAAACAGTTGTGTACTTGCTGGCAACGACTGGCTCATGTTCTCTGTTGATGCATAAACCCTAGGGATGAGTGTCTTTAATCTGAGCTGGTACCTTGGACAAACGCCGTGCCTCTCTTGAGAATGACTAGCTGGATTTGTTCTGTGCACCTACTTCCTACCTGATAAAAGTGTCAGATAGTGAATAATTCCATTTTCTTTATTAAACAGGGACATGGACATGTGCAGCCTGACATTAGCTTGTACTCATATTCTGGGTTTTCGGTGACCGGTGACACACAGTTGATCATAAGACCAATCATAGACTGAAAATGCTCTGCATTTTAGAGACAGAAGTTAAAAGCTTTTCCATCCTGTTTACAGAAAGTTTGTTTTTTATCTCTAAAGAGGCTCATGACCCACCTGAATACGTGAATTGAAGGAATGAGGCGTTGCAAGGAAAGGCTGCTGGCCCTCCCATTCCTCTTTTCACTTCTTGCCATTTTCTTGTAAAACTTTGATTGTCCCGCATGGGTCTTGGGAGATGGGGCCGTTATAGTAGCTGATGGCAGTGTCACCTGGGCCACTTTTGAAGCCACACTGATCACCCATATAGCATTTAAGACCTTTGGAAACGACACTGGAATCAAAATACCTGTCTGCATTAGTTATTCCAAACTGGAGAAAGCTACTTCAGGACGGTTTGGCTGAACGGCAACAGTGATGGAATATTTATATTTAGCCACATGTGCTGAATGTGGCTGTCACAAGTTTAAAATGCTTTCGTGTAAGACCATTTGTCTGTTACTCACTTGCGTTCTTTCTCATCTATATTTAGATGGCTTACTGTAGCTTTTAAAGGCACTGGCGTTTTACATGGTGCTAGTGATTCATCCACCTGCTCCCTACATTCATTGTAGTCTGCTTCTGACAGTCTCCTTTAAGGAGAGCTTTTAGGCTTGTAATTTCATATTTCAGCAGGCTGGCTAAAGACGTGGGAAAGTCTTCTGACCCTGGTTTCAGGTCAAATCTCAGCACTCAGAAGAGTAAGTTCATGCCTCTGTGTATACAGTTAGAGCTGAATGTGCTTTTGTTGTTCTGAAGCTTTTATTTTTAAAACATTAGACTTGACCTGTACTACATATATGTAGGTTTCACCCTGTCAATACCTGTCTGGGCAGGTTGTTTGGTTTGTTTTAAACTAGTATTTATTTATAGCCAGGCACTGAGTTAGTGTCGCATAAATGAGGCCCTTGGCAGTGAGGTCAGGCAAGCCCATCTCAGCTTGGAGGGAGGGGTTCTGTGATGTGCCTGTTGCCAGGAATACTTTCCTTCCCCTACCTTCACGGAAGGGGATAAAACTCCTTAGTTCTCGCTAAAACATCTTCCAGGAGGCTGCCTCTGCCTCGTAGACTGAACCACAGGCCCAACATGCATCCTACTTTAATGGTGATTACTTGTTTGATTAACTGTATCCCTTTAAAGGTGATTTCTTGTTTGATAACTGTATTCTCTGCCATAATATAAGCAGGGCAGTGACTGTGCCCCCATGGCCACTTATGGGGTGAGTAGCTAGCTGTGCAGGGTAGGTGCTAAAATGTTTGTTAGCTGGCTGAGTAAATGCACTTTAAAAAATTGTATGTAGAAGAAGAGGGCTCTATAAAGGCACAAATTGGAAGGGAAATTGCAGTGAAGGAATATTGGGAGGAGAGTGGCAATTTAGATTGGAAATCAAAGAGGATGAGGAGACTGGGGACACAATTTATAGAAACTGCTGTAAAGTTCCCCAGAGAGAGCTCATTCGTTCATTTGTTCATTCATTCAACATATACCTCCTCTTCTGGTCCCCACTGTGTGCTGGGTGCACTGTGCAGGCCTTTTGTGAGTGTGTATGTGAGTCTGTGTGTAGTTCTTTTCCACTTTATCACAGGCAGAACATTTAAATTTTTTTTCCTCCTAAGTTTGTCACTGTATTATTAATGTCTCTTCAAAAATAGACTATGCCAGTTCTTTAGCCCTTGCTGGGACAACTGAGAAGGCCGTTGGGGTGTTGGTCTTTGTTTTTTGCCCTGTTGTCCCCTGTTGCTAAGCGTTGGGGCAGCTTGTGTTTGTCGGGCACTCTGTATGGAGTCTGTACTTATCTGCGGCTGGTTTTTTTCGCAAGATGCCTGGGTGGTAGGTAGTGGGTCACCAAGATAGTCCCTTTCAGGGGCAATGATGTGGGGTATATTCTTGGCTACTACCCTATTGAGATGGGTTTGATCTTTTGGTCAATTTCATTGTAACTTTTAGTTTGAATGATAGATTTTCAAGTTCAAAAATCAAAAGATAGCAAACTGTGCAGAAAATTTTAGAACACGGAGGAAAACCTACTAAGCACACATTATCCTCACCACTCCGTGCTTTTTTCCAGGCTTCCCCCAGGATGATCATACATGGCCATCCTGATACATAGACATTTTGTTTTCTTGTTTCCACTTAATACTTTATTATAAGTACTTTTCCCAAGTTGTTACATAGTCTTCAAAGCCATTTTCCCCTCAGCTGTATAGTAATCCTGTTAAGGTTCTGTGACAAATGATCATGGCCTGAAAGGCAAGCTGGTCATAGCACTTGTCTCCCACTGGGAGAAGGGGGTCCAGGCTGGGAACTGAATTAGACTTTGGAGTCCTGGGACCCTAGAGGATGGACTCCCTACTGGTAGTTGGAACCCCCATCCCATGTGAGGTCTGGCCTCTGAATGAATGTCCCAAGCAACTGGGTACTCCTTTTCCATTCTTAGATAATTCTAGTAAGTATAAATGTCATGTGAGTATCCAGGGTATTTGTTGAGTGTTTCCAGTGGACATTCCCATGAAGCTTATTTACCTAGTCCTGACCTGCAGATAGATGCAGAAACTCTCTGGGGGCAGCCTGGCCTAGATGCTTTCTGATCTGTACCAGGCACCCAATCCTTACACTGTATCTCAGGTTTTCTGCTGAGGAAAGGGGTAGTAGTGAATGGTACTTACTTCTTCGCAGAAATGGTATGAGAATCGACATATCAAAAGATCTAGCTGACTTACATATGATGCTGACATCTTTTTAATACTTTTCTAAATTGTACAGTTTTTTAGCTATTATTTATTAGCTATTATTATTATTAGTTACTGATTAGATTTCAATCAGGGATTTGTAGAACAAGGGAATTAATGCCTCAAATTCCCTTGTTCTGTCTCTCAAATTCCTTATTTCATGGCACTTTTTTTCCCTGAATATTTTGTGAAGCCAGCTGCATTATAGGATCTGTATATCTATATATCCATATATGTCTCTCTGACTAAACTGTAGCCTCTGGAGGGCCAAGACCCTACCTCATTTATTTATGTCTGAGTTCCCAGAATCGAACCATTCATCTAACAGGTATTTACCAAATGCCTTCTACATGCCAGGCATGGTTCCAGGCTCAGTTAGACAGCAGTGGACAAAACCCCCCATCTTCACGGAGCTTATGTTGCAGTGAGGACTACATAAGCTAAGCAATACATGATACAGCTTGTTGGAAGGTGGTTAATGCTATGGAGAAATATGCAGCAGGGGTGGGGGGTGGGAGGGTCTGAGGTGGGTTTGCAGTGTTAAAGCTGGATCACCAGGAGGCATCCCTGAGAAGGTGGTCTGTGAGCTAAGGCTGGAAAGAGGTGAGTGGGGAGGCCACACCAGGCTGAGGTGCCTCTGAGGCTCAGGCTGCAGAATTGAGGAACAGCAGGGAGCCTGGTGAAGCTGGCGCAGAATTGAGGTGGGGACGCACAGGAGGAGAAGAAAGTAGAGGTGCCAGGTTGAGCTTATAGATGAAAGTTAGGACTGGCTTTTACTCCCAGTGACATGGGCTGCCTTGTAGAGGTTTGAGCAGAGGATTGACCCAATTAGTGGGCTCGAATGGAGAACACACTGAAAGCTGGGGCAAGAAGGGAACATGGAAGACCAGGGAGGAGGCCACTTCAGTCCAGGCCTGAGATGGTGCTTTCTGCCAGAGTGGATGTGGTGTGGTGAGAAGGAACAGATTTTGCATGTTTTAGCATTCTGATTTTATTTTTTAAATTTCCATATACCTGCAGAAAACATGAGTGGTACAATGAACACCTATGTATTCTTCACCTAGCTTTACCAGTTGTAAATAAATTGTCACATTTGTTTTATCTATTATTATTATTATTTTTACTGTTGGCTAAAGGTTTTGGGAGGAAGCTACCTGTAGCGTAACTTTTCAGCCCTAAGTGCTGCATGTTTCTCTTAGGCACAAGGACATCCTTGTACATAACCATAGTGCAGTTATCAAATTCAAGAAGTTTAACATTGAGAACAAAAATTCACATTTCTCCCATTGTTCCAATAATGTCCTTTGTAGCCATTTTTTTTTTTTCCCCCCAGTGCAGGATCTGATCCAGGATCACACATTGTATTCGGTTTTTCCTATCTTTTAATTTTAGAGTATCTCTCAATTTGGCTTTTCTGATTCTTTCATACAATTGGGTTCCAGTGGTAACTCTTTGGCAGGAATGCTACACATGGGATATTGTGTGTGTCTCAGGGTACTGGAGATGCAAATGTGAAGGTAGCGTCAGTGGGATTTGTTGACAGGTGAGATTGGCATTGCCAATAACTGTGATATGGGAAAGACTATGGGCAGGATGGGGCTTTTGGGGGAGGATCAGGAGTATAGGTTTGTATACAATGTCTGGCACGTGGTTAGGTACTCACAGATGCCTGTAGTTGAATTTCATGCTAGTAAACTAATGAAATGATTCCCATGAGGAGGTGAGCCAGTGGTAGTGCCCAGAGTCCTAGCTTTATCTGGTTAGAGATTCAGCCCTGGCACTATCTCATGGTATCCTAGCTGGACTTGACTTCTTGTCTGGTGCAGCCAGATTAGGGAGAAACTTTCCTTCTCTACTGCCTTCTCTTCCTTATTCTTGTCATGTCCCTTTCACCAGTCGCTTAATATGTTTGCCCTGTGTTTCCCACTTTACCAAAGGAGTAAGTAGACAGGCAAGTCAGGTTCCAGGTAGAGGATGTATAGACTGGCTAGTTCAAGGGTTTGGGGGCAGAATACCTCTATTACGTTGTATGTTTATATGGCGGGCTTGCTTAATAAAACAACTGAAACCTCTCTCTTTTTAAAAATCTCTCTCTCTCTCTCTCTTTCTTTTAAAGTTTAAACTCATATCCCAGGCATATGAAGTGCTTTCAGATCCAAAGAAAAGGGATATTTATGACCAAGGCGGAGAGCAGGCAATTAAAGAAGGAGGCTCAGGCAGCCCCAGCTTCTCTTCACCCATGGACATCTTTGACATGTTCTTTGGTGGTGGTGGACGGATGGCTAGAGAGAGAAGAGGTAAATGCTTTTAAAGAAACATAAATAAGTTGTATGGTTTCCACAATTGTACGTATTTTGGAATCAGGATAGATCATGCTTTAAAAGGATATGATTGGACCAGGTGTAGTGGTTCATGTCTGTAATGTCAGCACTTTGGGAGGCCAAGGTGGGAGGATCGTTTTAGGCCAGGATTTCAAGACCAACTGGGGCAACATAGTGAGACCCCCCCATCTCAAAAAAAGAAAAATAAAAAAATTAGCCAGGCCTGGTGACTCATGCCTGTAGTCTCAGCTACTTCTTGAGAGGCTGAGGCAGGAGGATGACTTGAGCCCAGGAAGTCAAGGCTGCAGTGAGCAATCCAGCCTGCATGACAGAGTGGGGCCCTGTCTTAAACAAACAAACAAACAAACAAAAAAACAAGGTACCGTTGCCATGTTTTGGGATCATTAACTTTAAAGAGTTTATCACTTGTCTAGTGCTCAGGCTACCTGGAAACTCCTGGTAAATTTAGTAATTATCTGACATCCTCCAATACTATATGAAGGAGCAAATGGACTGGTGGATAGAAAAGAAGAAGGTCAAGTTCATCGTGCCTTCTTTTCCTCTGTTGTTGGGATCAGGCACCAGAGTGTGTTGAGGGATGTAAATGACGCCTCCTGTGGTTGTCAGGGATCCTTTACGGAGTGTGTTCCTCTCCTCTCATGCCCACCCTCCCTTTGTGGCCTTCCATTTTCCCTGACCTGGGCCTGGGCTGCAGGCTCTCTCATTCTAGGTGGGTACCCTTGCCATGTTCAGTATGGCCTCATTTCCCAGCCTGCTCAGGGGATTTTCTAGGTAACAAATTTTACCTCTTTATGTTTGAAATCTTTGTAAATGACCTGTCTTTCTTTTCAGAATGCATTATGAGTAGTAGCAACTTCATCCCCAGGTGAATGAGGAACTTAGCCCTTAGCTCAGTGGCCCCAGGCCACTGTTTTGACTTTCGAGGTTTGCTCTTCCTAATTTTTCTGCATCTCATCTTCTGCCAGACTACAGGCTGTTACCTCTGTTGTTGGTAGTTGCTAATGTTAGTAGTTGCCAATAGACTAGTTCCCATTCCCCCTGTTTAGTTTACTGTTGTCAGGCTGCTTTGAATCTTGAAACCAGAAAGATAAGCAGGCTTATTATAATTCTGGATAAAGTCAGAAAAAATGAGCTCTGCCTTGGGATTTAAGAAGTGTGGTTTTTGAGAGACCCCTAGATAAATGAAGCAGCACCTGTTATCACATTGTAATTGACTTTGAGCTTTAAAAAGCTTGGGTGTCAATTCTGTGAACACAGAGTGCTGAAAATCACAGAGTGTTTATTAGGGAAAAATCCTTCCCCTGTCCTTTGAGCATATTGCCTGCTCATATAATTGATGGTGTGCACGTAATTAAAACTTCGGGTATTCTCTTGTCCAGCTCCCTCACTGTCTTGAGATGAAAAACTTCATGCCCTTAATTAAGTCATCTCTCAAAGTTGGCAGCCAGTAAACCAGGACAGCTCGTCTCAGTGACTGCAGGAGCTCCACGGGCAGCAGGGAGGGTCTTGATGCTGTCAGTCTTGACAGGCTGGCAGGCGCTGGAGCACACGCCCACCCTCAGGACCAAACACCCACTGTCCTGAGTGCAGAAGCAAGATTTTGGCAGAGGAAAGAATTCCCATTTGGCCACCAGTTACAGAAGGGCTCAGAAAGTAAAGTGCTTTATGCCCAAGGAAGAGTTTGAAAAGATCCAGAGACTTTGGCTGTCACAGATTTATGTATAGAAAGAACTCCTTTCATGGGGAAACTTAACCAACTTCGTGGGTTCATACTGCTTTTGGTTTCTCAATTAGTACTCTCCCTGTCCTCAGATTTGTTCTCCAAAAATAAAGGTGGAAAGTCTTTTTGTTGGCCTCTATAAATGATTAATTAGCTCATAGCTAGAGAAGGTATTAGCTCTTGTTATTGGCTGAGGGCTAGAAGGATGGGCTGGGGTAATAGAAGCATTGCTTCCTGCAGGGAAGGGAGCGCATGACCCATCCACAGTCTTGAATCTCTGGAGACTTCATACAACTAAGGGTCATATGGGTGGTATTTAATACAGTGGTATATTTCATTCAACGCCACTAATTTTTTTTCTCCCTTGCTAAGGCAAGAATGTTGTACACCAGTTATCTGTAACTCTTGAAGATTTATATAATGGAGTCACGAAGAAATTGGCCCTCCAGAAAAATGTAATTTGCGAGAAATGTGAAGGTAAAAATTAATTTTTGACTGAACCTCACAGTTCTGATCCCTTAGATTCAGAAACAATGCTTGTTTTAGTTCAGGGAGAATAAGTTATCTTATTTCAAATGCAAGGGTCAAGCAGAGATTACAGACAGGTGGCCTGAGGACCACATCTCTTTGCCTGAATGAATGTTTTCTTTGGGCTGCACCTCTGTTTGACATGTTGACGACTATTTTTAAAAATTAAGAATCAGACACTTGACCTCATCTAGGGGTTGGCTGGCAGACTTTTTCTGTAAAGAGCCAGAGTTTAGGCTTTCCGGGCCATGGAGTCTTTTGTAACTAGTTCACTCTGCCATCATGTTACATAAATGAATGGACATGCCTGTGTTCCAGTAAAACTTTATTTACAAACCCAAGCAGTCCGGCCATGGTTTCTTGACCCCTAACTTAAATGTACATATAATTATTGTAATTTTTTAAAAATCTGAGTTTTCCAGAAAAGCCATGTCTGGTGACCCCAGCCTCACATTGTCCCACAGAGAGAATTGGCTGAGCTGGGTAGCTGCTGCTATTGACAGAGCTTTTGTTCTCTAGATCTCCATAGCCCCAGCCTCCTCATTCATCTGTGGGCCTATGCAGGTTCCACCTGGGGTGGAAGAAAACACATTTGATGAAGCTAAAGTAATAAATTTGGATTGATGCAACCAAAATCACAAACATTTGAGGTCAGATGTTAACATCTGGATGTTATCTGCTTGGCTGGACTCCTCCAGGCTCTTCTGCATTGTTTTTTGATTGTAAATAGAATTCTAAGCCCAATGTCTGATGTGAGGGTTCCCTACCCTTCTGCTGTGGTGCCCAGCAGGGACACTGGTAAGGGAAGAGCATGGCCCTCACTCCTGCCTCCCCCGACCCTGCAGGTGTTGGCGGGAAGAAGGGATCGGTGGAGAAGTGCCCGCTGTGCAAGGGGCGGGGGATGCAGATCCACATCCAGCAGATCGGGCCGGGCATGGTGCAGCAGATCCAGACCGTGTGCGTTGAGTGCAAGGGCCAGGGCGAGCGCATCAACCCCAAGGACCGCTGCGAGAGCTGCAGCGGTGCCAAGGTGATCCGTGAGAAGAAGATTATCGAGGTACATGTTGAAAAAGGTGAGGCTGCGCAGAGCTGGTGCTCCACACTGGCTGGAAATGCTGTCTGGGTGCTAATCGTGGGATACACAGGCTAGATGTCAGGGAAGTGAGCTGTATCACAACATGTATTGGGTGTGCCATGAATTCCTCTTGTGTCCCGATCATCTTCTCTCCACCCTTCCTGGCCTTATTTCCATTCCATGTCACCTGCCAAAGTGTTCTTGCCGAGGTTTACTTCCTTGAGATCACAGACAGCCTCTCTATGAGATTTTCTGATGCTCTGAAAGTCTTACTTGGCCTTGGTTTTGGTTAGTTGCCATCTCCTGATATTCTCAAGCCATTCCTCTAGAATCTTTAGGATTGTCTTCCTGGTCGCTTCCAATGCTCATTGGCCGTAAGGGCTTGTTTAAGTGTTTGTGGCTGCATATTCCCTTTCTCTCCACATTTCCCCATCTGGTGCATCAGATTTCCCCAAATACAGCACCTTCTTCTGCTATTCATTTTGCCTGATGCCATCATTTTAAGGCCTTTTTCCATTTTAGCTGTCCTCCAAGTATTCCCTGATGATTCTGTGGCTTTCCAATCCAGTGAATATATCCTAGATCAGATACGAGACCAAAAGTAAAAGAATTAACACCCAAACCGACACAGGTGTTATGAAAGGACTTACTGTTTAAACGTGCCTGAACCCTGTGCCTTGAGTGTGCATAATGACTTATTAGAAAAGGACAGGGCTGGCTGACCCCCATCAGTCCTTAGTCATGCACCCTGTGCCCCGGGAAGTGGGTAGTGACCCCATGCTGGCAGTGTGGCATCACAGGCCCGGGGAAGGGAGTGCTGTGGAAACCTGGGATGTAGAGCCGCATTCCCCCTCTCCCTGTGCATGCTGGGCTTGGCCCCACATTATGCCAAGGGAAGCGGGACCTCTTTTCTCATTGGCCATCCTAGCCACCCCTCCCTGCCTTGTGCCTGCATGAGATTGGGAGGCTTGATGAATAAAGAACCCCTGAAGGACTCTGTTCCTTCTTCAAAAGCTTTAAGGAAGCATGGTTTGTATGAGAAATGGCTAATCAGAAAGGGATGATGTTTCATAGGTATGAAAGATGGGCAAAAGATACTATTTCATGGAGAAGGAGATCAGGAGCCTGAGCTGGAGCCTGGTGATGTCATAATTGTGCTTGATCAGAAGGATCATAGTGTCTTTCAGAGACGAGGCCATGACTTGATCATGAAAATGAAAATTCAGCTTTCTGAAGCTCTTTGTGGCTTCAAGAAGACGATAAAAACATTGGACAATCGAATTCTTCTTATTACATCCAAATCAGGTAACGTTTCAAATGTGTGTTTCCATTGACGTTCTGTATGTTTGGCATAATTCTAGCAAGTTAGCCTGATTTTTTTATTGCTACATAATATTTTACATATTGATGGGGTGCATGTAATACTTTGTCCCATGCATAAAATGGGTAATGATCAAGCCAGGTGTTTAGGGCATCTGTCGCCTTGAGTATTTCTTATTTGTGTTGGGAATAGTTCACCTGATTTCACATTTAAAGTCAAATTCTGTTACACAAATTAGTATGACGTGATTTTCTCTAAATTTAAAGTTATCCCTAATGACTCTAGATAATTTATAAAGTCCTTTATATTCTCCTAGAAAAAATATTTGGTTGGGGGGAAAGGTCTCAAATAAGAATCTTGGGGCTCTGAAATTTTAGATGAAGTCTGCCAATTAAACTTAAATTTTTAAAAATTTATTTTTGTATAAGAAAACAGCTTAATAGGTGGTGTTTTTCTATCAAGTGGTGATTTGTGCTGATTGATCCACATGTTCCTGTAGCCTCTGTTGTTCATTACTTGAGTTACATTTTAAAGTAGAATTTTCCTGTAAGAAAGACTTTGCCTATCAGCTTATCCTTGGAGGTTTCCACAGGAATTGCTGGTCTGCCCACACCCATGGGAGCCAGAGGGAGATGCCTCTGGGCTGAAAGGGTTCCTGAGGGCCTGAGCTCAGCCCCCAACCCCCTTGTAGACACTAGGGGACTCATCTCCCAGGAGGGTTTCTGTGTTCACTGCAGTGAGGGTCTGTGTGGGCACCAGAGCACCTGCCTAGAAGGGGCTGAGAAAGGAGAGAGGCCAGGCCAGAGACCTTGACTTGAAGCTGCTTCTGAATAGCACTAAGGTCAGCTGTGCATAGCAAAGAATGTCTGGATGGGTGTGGTGGTGGCTACACCACCGAAGCAGCCTGGGCCCCAGCACCAGCCATTTGCAGTGTTGCTGTAGTCCCCTCACTGGCCGTGGGGCTGGGATTACCTTTTCCTATGGCCATTTGAGGTTTGGGGCAAAAGAGGTAGGTTCAGGGCAGGCACGGAGGTAACCAGCCAATAAGCCTGCCCCCAGGGCAGTGGCAGCTGGAGATAAGACTCAAGTCCAATGGGGTGACTGAGGCCTGGGCGTCTGTTCCCTCCCTGTCCCTCTCCCCCTTCCCCTCCTTGCCTGCTTTCCTCTTCCCGTGCTCTTTTTCTCTTTCCTCTCTTGGATTCTTTCAGGTTCCTCCTTTCCTGGGGATAATAGGAAGCAGAATTATATATCCAAGGCTTGATCAGTTTTTGGGATTTTAAAATAAACTTATTTGGAAACAATTTCAAGCTTACAAAAAGTTGTAAATACAAAAATAGTCCGAGGTCCACCCATATGTGATTTGTCTGATGTTAACATTTTACCCCATTTGGTTTGTCATTTGCTCTGTGTCTGTTTTTATTTATTTTTAAAATTTTTTGAGACAGGGCTCTCGCTCTGTCACACAGGCTGAAGTGTAGTGGCATGATCTCAGCTCACTGTAACCTCCACCTCAGCCTCCCGAGTAGCTAGTGCTACAGCCACATGCCACCACGCCCATCTAATTTTTATATTTTTTGTAGAGATGGGGTTTTGCCATGTTGCCCAGACTTGTGTGTGTTTTTATACATAATCAAGGATTGGGGGAAGCACTGCAGTATAATGCAAAATTTGCATGAACATTTAAAATAAAACACCTACCCTTAGGCTTTCATAGACCTCCCAAGGCACCCATTTCTTCCCTTGAGAAGGAGTTTGAAGATCACAGTTTACATGAAGCCCCAGACCACTGGTTGTGAGCTCAACCCCTGGCACTGTGTCCAAGACGCCCTTACATGGTCACAGCCCAGATCCTAGCCCTCCTGAGCCGGGGCTGGGCGGCATCTGTATGTAACTTCTTTGTGAAAGACCATCCTGTCCAGGGGTGGACTGTTTGAGGCTTGGGCCCTGCCAAGGGTCAGAGCCCAGTGTTCCTTGCTGCCTTAGCTGACCCCAGCCTAGGGAACCGGGAGCCAAATGGAGTGAGGGTGGCGGAGAAAAAGCCCCAGAGGGAAGGAAGTGGCAAATCCTAAGAAACCTCTTTCCTTCTTTATTATAAGGAAGGGTGGAGCATCCAGGAAACCTGCCGTTGGAGAGTTCTTTGGGGATTTGTTTTCCTTTTTGTTTTGTTTTTGCTTTTACTTTGTTCTCGTTTGCACCCTCTCCTTTTTTCTTCACCCCTCTTTTGTGTTGGTTTATTTCTTGTTTCTCCATCTTCTCTCCTCCCTCTTCCTCCTCTCTTCTGCTGTTGAAATGCCTTCTTCCCTAGAGCCCTTTAGCCTGTTATGAGCATTGCTGAGGATTGGATTAATTAAAAAAGTGATTTTTGGAGCCACACAAGGGTGTGATGGCCCTGCCTGCAGGCAGGTATTTACCTGCCGGGAGAGCCAAAATTGTGGTGTTCTTCTACCTGTAGTTTTCCATGCTTGGTCAGTTTCCCACCTCCTGGTAAGCTAGAAGCAGAAGCATGGGGAGTAGAGCTTGAGAGCAGCAAGAAGTGACACCTGATAGGAATGGGAAGACAGAAAAACCAGTCATGTGTCACTTAATGATGGGGCTACGTTCTGAGAAATGCATTGTTTGGCGATGTTGTCGTGATGTGAACATCATAGAATATACTTGCACAGACCTAGATGGCGTAGGCTGCTACACCCTAGGCTGTGTGGCATAGCCTGTTGCTCCTGGGCCGAAACCTGCATAGCAGGTTGCTGTACTGAATACTGTTGGCAGTTGTAATATGATGCTGAGTATGTGGGTATCTGAACGTAGGAAAGGTGCAGTAAAAGTTTGGTGTAATCTTTGCAACCATCTTCATAAATGTTGACTGAAAGGTCACTATGCTGTGCATGACTGTATTTCTTTTTTCTTTTTTCTTTTTCTTTTTTGAGACGGAGTCTTGTTCTGTTGTCCAGGCTGGAGTGCAGTGGCGCAATCTTGGCTCACTGTAAGCTCCGCCTCCCGGGTTCACGCCATTCTCCTGCCTCAGCCTCCCGAGTAGCTGGGATTATAGGCACACCCCATCATGCCCAGCTAATTTTTCTATTTTTTTTTTAGTAGAGATGGGGGTTTCACTATGTTGGTCAGGCTGGTCTCGAACTCCTGACCTCGTGATTTGCCCGCCTCGGCCTCCCAAAGTGCTGGAATTACAGGCGTGAGCCACCGCGCCTGGCCATGACTGTATTTCAGAAAAAGAATAAACAGGAACACAAAAAGCCAGCAGTCCGGAGCAGTTTAGCTAAGGGGTTGTTGTCCTGCACAGTCAGTAGGCTCTGAAGGCCATGTCTGAGCCACAGCCCTGCCCGTGAATGAACCTCAAGGATAGTCATTGGCTTACTTTATTTTTAAAACCTCCCCTTTAAAGATTTCCTCTTGAAGAGAGAGCTCACTTTCTAGATAGTTCCATATGGAAGTGGACTGCTGAATAAATTAGTGTTTCGATTCCCCTCCACCGTCTCCCCCATTTTTTCCAAACATTTCTTTCTGTCTTTGTCCATATTCATCGCTGAGCTGAAGAGTATACTTTATCAGAAACCCTTTTGTCTCTTTCCTTTTCCATGCTTAGAGGGAAGTTTCTGACTTGGGAGAATGCCTCAGAGTTCTTGGGGTCTGAACTCCCCTGATGCCTTGCAAAGTCACGTAGCTGTAAGACCCAGCGGGTGCCAGCCGGGAGGGTGACTCCAGCTCAGCAGCGTGTATGGAAGTGCATTGTGACCATGAAGGAGATTGCCTGTGGCCAAGCCACCTAGTGAGCTCCCTACCAGGGAACCTGGGTGTCACCTACAGGTGGCTGGGAGCCAGTTTTTATGCCAGGCAGGGGACTGGTTGGACTCTTGAGGCTTCTTCCTATCTGTGAGGAGCATTCCTGTTCCCCTTGTGGTAGGAATACCTGTCACCCCACGAAGGGGCAGAGTGATGGTTGTTGGCCCCATTTTATGCAGACTTGGGTGTCATGACTTCTGGTTCACTTGTTTCAAGCCTACCTGTGATGGTGGCTGCAGCATGCTGCCCCCTTGACACACTGCTGGAGCTCAGAGCACGGGCCGGGGGAGCACGGGCCGGGGGAGCACGGGCCAGAGTCCCAGCCCGAGCCCCACCCCCAGGCAGTACCTGACAAGGATACCTGGGATTGGGACCAGCTTTCCAGTCAGATGCCACGCTGCTTTTGCCCAGTGCCACGGGGTGCTAGGACCTGCCTCAGGCTCTCCCGTGAGGGAGAACGACCTCTGCAGGCCCCTCTGCCTTTCTTCTTCATAACTGACCCTTTCTCTGGCAGGTGAGGTGATAAAGCACGGGGACCTGAAATGTGTGCGTGATGAAGGAATGCCCATCTACAAAGCACCCCTGGAAAAAGGGATTCTAATCATACAATTTTTAGTAAGTTCACTGTGTTTCATTGTCGTGGACATATTATTAAATGCCTTAATTGGAAGGGGAAAAAACAGCCACCTTTCTTTCCCACCTCACCCTTTACAGGTAATCTTCCCTGAAAAACACTGGCTTTCTCTGGAAAAGCTTCCTCAGCTGGAAGCTTTACTGCCTCCTCGACAGAAAGTGAGGATTACAGATGACATGGATCAGGTGGAGCTGAAGGAGTTTTCTCCCAATGAGCAGAACTGGCGTCAGCACAGGGAGGCCTACGAGGAGGACGAAGACGGGCCCCGGGCTGGAGTGCAGTGCCAGACAGCGTGACATGGTGCGGGGCAGCGTGGCCCCGCCGGACTAGCACATGATGAATGTAAAGTTGGCACAATGAAAATGATCGCTTTAATGGCCTCATGTTTGGGATGTCCTGTGTACGTGTTCAGCATTCTTAATTGCTGAGTGTCTTTTTGGTTTTTATTTTGGTTGTAACTTAAGTTATAGCTTAATTTATTTAAATGTTTTAAGTGTAAATCACCTCTAGTCTGTATATGGAATCTGTTCATTTCTATTTTCAGGATATACTTTTTGAGATGTCAGTGATTGCACCAACACTTTGTGCTTCTAGTGGCTTTGCCATAATTCAGTGTCACCAATAAAGCACAGCCCAGTTAGCAGCTCAGCCCCCTAGCAAACCCCAAGGCACAAAGTGGGCATCCTGGCCCATCTCTAGGTCTGTGGTTTCTCCCCCTCCCTTGGCAGAGTTATTGAGGGCATGATCTCAGGGCTGCTAAGATAACATTTCTGAGGATTCTAGATGATCCTCTTAAAGAACAAAAGCACATCCATGGATCGGACATGGCTGCCTGTGCCTGCTTAACAGGGCCAACTTAGTTCCTACTGTTCTGTGCCCTTCAGTGGATGGAGTGTGAGTGTGTCTGATCATCTCTCTTGGAAGTTTTCTGAACCTTCCAAGCTCTGTGGTGAGGACAAACCAGTGTTTTGAATCGTATGCTGATAACTGTTTGCCTGTGACCCTCACACCTTGTTCTTCATGGTTTTAATGATTTTCTGTTGACAACTTTTGCAATGCTTTCCCACCAAAGTGCTTACCTGTAAAGAAAACTAAATCGTTCTGTGTCCCCGGCAGCCTCAGTGCAGCAACGGAAGCCGAGGGAGAATGCTGCTGGTTTGGCCCATGACACAGCCAGCTTCTCTGACCAGTAATCTGGGGTGACTTGAGGGTCTGCAAAGGCATAGAACTCCCCCAGTGTTTTCCACCTCATTCTCCCAGATTCAGCTCCCTTCCAAAGGATTGTTCCTCTTATTGCACAGCCATATTACAAAGGGCTTCCTGCTCAAGTGATGTTTTGGTAAGAACTGCTCTGAGTTCCACTGTGGATTACAGTTTGTATGGACTACTACTGTAAATTGTAGCTTGTTTGGAGGGATATCAGTCATTATTTTATTCCTGACAGGTAGACTACAATTCGAACTTAGGGTTACCTCAGTCTTTAGCCATTACTGCTTATTTCTTGCCCCCAAGTCACAAAAAACTTGTAAGCTGTTGGGTTAAAGCAGAGGCTGCCTGTCAGATCTACCCTACCCTTATTTGGTTACATGGCACCTGAGAGTTTCACTCAGACCAGGGATCTTCCTTAGGAGGGTCAAAAAGCAGATCAGACCATGCAGAAGTAGGGTGAACCAGCTGCACGGACCAGGTTCCCACAGAACATTGCTAGCTAGTGAGGCATAATTTGCTCAAAGTATAGAAGCAGCCCACGTACGCCCACTTTGACCATGGGTCAGGATAGATATAAAATCACTTCTTCCAACGAAGCCTAAGTGAAAAATCTATTTGTAAATGGACCACAACTCCGGGGTGTTGTTTCTGTGCTGTGACTTCCGAATTATTGCTAAAGAACTACTGTTTCGTTGGTGATGGAGTAAAATTACATTCAGCTCCTTCTTGTCATATAAGAGGAATTTGGAGGGTGTTGCTTAAAATTTTATTCCACCTGTACATTTGTCACTTTAAATTAAAATTGAGCTGGTATGAGAGAAGTGGCTTTGCTTTTTCATTTTTTCGAGAGCTCAAACAGTGTTAAGTGCCAGCTTGCCTCTCATTGGTTGATATAATGGAATGAAGTTTCCACCCTCATGGAGCTTTATTTTGGGGATGGGGGTGAATGCAAACAAAAAGTGGTAACTGCTATGAAGAACAAGAGGAATGGGAGTAAGTAGAAGGGAAAGGGAAGAAGGCCTCTACCAGGAGCTGGCATCTAGGCAGAATCCTGGATGCAGTTGGGGAGCAGACGTCCGAAGGTCTGGAGGGAAAACATTCCAAGCAGAGAAATGGCAATGATGATGTGGTTACAGGAGGGTGAGCAAGGCAAGCAGGAGAAAGAAGCAGGGGGCTATGATAAAAAGGGTGAGCTTTATTCTGAGGGCAGTGAGTCGTCTGGGGAAAAGCACATGACCTGACTCATAAGCATATTAAGTTATGATCAATAAAAAGCAACACTCTTCCAAGTGTTTAGCTACTTACATCTTTCTCATTAACGTGAGTCTCAAGGGGGCTGATGAGGAGGAAACTCTGAGGTACAGATACTCTGAAATAACTAAGGCAGAGCTACTGTTCTACGGAATGAGGCACAGGCTTGAGCCTAGGCATTATTAAGGCAGCCAGACTAGCAGCCTGCCTTCCAATACCCACCTAGTGAGTTAGAGACCTCTCTGAAATTAATAAGGGGAAGGAGGGCTTGGCAGGGGACATCTTTAATACATCAAGTAGAAGGATGCCCAGATAGACAGGAGTACATAATGTTCCTATGCAGTCAAATATACTCTTTCCTTCAGGACTCCATTCTATAATAGATTAGCTTCTTTATCACAGCTCTGGGGAGCTCGCTGCTGTATCTCACTGCATGAGTCAATTCCCTGGAAGAGCCTGTATTTCTAAGCCAGAAAGTTAAAGAAGTGCCTGGATCTCTTGATGGCTAAGACAGAGATTTGCTCTTAATGCCAATCCCTCTTACTGTTTCACTGGTAATAGGGTAACTGAAAAAAGAAGCATGTTCAAGGACACTGGTGTTTGCATTAAGAAAGCTTTATGTTAAAGTATGAACAGCATTCCCAATAAAACATGAAAAGATTTATATTGTATCTACAAAATTTAAGTCTTTGCTACAATAAATGCTATATTTCTTTTAAACAAGCCTAAAAAGGTAAGGAATGTCATGATCAATCCGTACATTCTCTTTGCAGCATAAGCCAGGAGACTTTGATGTTTAAATTGGACAATCATAGATGTGAATTTCCTGGTCATCTCCAACAGACACAATTTTTGAACCATTTCCATTGTATTTTACTCCCCAGACCTGTAAATTAAAAAAAAAAAAAAAAAAAAAAAAAAAAAGTTCTACAAATGCCTTTATTCTTTATAATATTTATGAAATGAACATCCTTATTTTCTCGTTATTCTGAATCTACAAAAACTGAGATGAGGATATTCTTGTACTTTCTAAATCAGTGAGAATGGAGGCTTTAACCAAGCACCTTCCAGTATTGCTATTTAATTAGCATTCCTGTCCCTTCCCATACTCCAAAAAAACCCCAAAAAAATCATTTTTAAATACAGTACTAATCAAGATTATCTATAACCCTTTCAAAGAGTCAGAATCCCGAGGTAACCTAGTGCCAGGAAGATGGAAGTCATAAGAGACCAACATTTATGCTTCCAGGAAGAAAGAGGCCCCACAACTACCCCGAGATCACTGCCTATAGGGGAAATCACAAACTGTGCTCCTCAGCTGGCCCCTTGTGTCCACCCCCCACGGTCAATAATTCTCACTCTGTTATGAGTGGCCTATGGAGCCTGCTTGTCCCCAGGAGCTAGACAACATGATACTGTGGACCATAGATTTTTATTTGCTATGTGTTGAATTAACTGATTCACACCTCTTTCCCAGACAGAATTGATGTGGTTGGAGTTTCTCTAGTCAGGAATAACTTCCTGATTATTAGGAGGTGATTTTGGGTGGTAAGCCTGTCACCCTACTCTGATTTTAGTGTTGGGATTGGGCTGCATGATGGCCTTTCACTCCAGCCTCTGAAACAGCACTGCAATGATCCATGCATACAAGGCAACACAGCTAGCCAGGACTTACTCCTTGAGTAAGATGTTTAAATCCAGGAGTGGAATATCAAGATTCAACCCCCTCAATTTTGTTGGAAACAATTTAAGGTGAAAAGTAAAAAGCATGAACAATGTTAGTTAACTTTAAGTTTCATTTCAAAGAGGAGAAATCTATAGGACCATCTAAAAATATTTAAAATGTATTAAAAGCCAATTTTATACTGCCATGGATGTTTTATTTTTTTATGCTTAGTTCCCTAAGACCTTACAGTGTGGTTAGGACCAGCAGCCTTGGCCTCACCTGGGAGCCTGTTAGAAATGCAGAATCCCAGGCCCTGTGCCAGACCTAGTGAAGCAGCATCTGCATTTTAACTAGGTTCCCAGGGGATACAAGCACACATGAAAGACTGAGCAGTATTGCACTAGAACACCTTATTTCACATAGTCACCTTGGCAAAGACAAAGAGGCTTGTGAGAACAGTTTCCTTTTAAAGACTGAAACAAAAGTTATCAATACCACTAAAGCCAAAAAACTTGTAAGAATTTCCAGCTTCTATATTTAAAAAAAAAAAAAAAAAATCACATCTCTTCTTTGGACAGTTCCAAAAATGACAAGTGATAAGCAATGGAATCTCCTGAAGACGAAGGTCGTTGGTGAGCCTGCCATGGCCCAGCAGCCCCCAGGAGAGGGCCCCAGACACCAGTTGCAGCAATTTCCAAAGATGGCATTTAAAGGCTGTGGGGCTAACACAATGTCTTCCGGCCTGTGTGGGGATATGCCTTGTGAGTTGCTAGGCTGACAGCACATCCCAGCCTCTGCACCCCAGACTATGCACAGGAACTCTGGCTACATGGATGACTGAGCAGACACAGCAGCTCAGGCCCAGGCATCTACTGGCATCTACAGCTCAAGCAACAAGGTTAGGAAAAGAAAACCTCTTTGGTACGATGGTCAAACAACCCCAGCTATCTAAAGAGGAAATAGTAATGCCATACCTGATCCTGGTGATCAAAGAAAGTGTGAACACACGTCCTCGTTCCAACATCCCAAACTTTTACACTTTTGTCAGACGAACTATTTTAAAAAGTGAACATTAGTATCGGTTTGAAGTTGGAAGGACTTCGACCAAAAATCCTTTGATGACTTACATTCTTCTAACTTCAGACCCCCCAGCACCCACGCCTCAGTACAGGAAATGGACAGGTATTGCATCATCATTGGGTGGCTTTCCCTCCTCACAGGGTAGCCGTTTTCCTGAAATTCTGATCTGCCTGGCCCTCATTTTAATTGTTCTCCAGGAGTCTCAGACACAGCTACCTATTTCCAGATGGGAGGGAGGCCTGTTAAAACTTCAAAACCAAGGCTCGCAGGAGGCCTCTAAAGCACTGTGCAATGCCTTCAAGTTGTCCATCTCCTGCTTTCCAACTGTCTTGGCCATCCCAGGGCTGACCAACACTGAAATCTATAAACAACATTTTACAAACATTTACATATTTTAAGTTACCATTGGAACACAAGTCTACCTTAGAGTCACTTTGGTAGAAGCCTCAATTTATAATGAAAAAACTAAGAGTTTAACTGTTTAAAAGGATTCCTTGTTGACTTTTGTTCCAGCTAAGGTCAACTAACTTCACTAAGTAAAAATTTTAAGAACTGCAGAAAACAAAGGCTAACTGAATAAAAAAGAGTCAAACATCTTTAAATGTTATGGCAATCTATTCAGGAAGACTGCCCTCATCTCCCCAGCATTTTAGAAACTGCTAAGAATCATTAAGTACCTGGAAACAAAGTGAGTGTCATCAGGACAGAACGCAACGTTCAGCACCCAGGAGGCATGACCGCTCAGCGTGCCAGCCAAATTGGCATGTTGTCTGAAATGGGAAAGGTTCAAACAAAATTGAGATGTTAATTTCTAGAGTATAATCACCGAAGTAGAGGGTTTATTATTAACTCTGCCCATAAACTGGACCAAATCTGCTATCCTTATAATGACCATGAATACTGTATCACAAATTCCCCTTTCAATGAAGTAGCATCATGCATTAGAGACAAATTTTAATAGCAGCATTAACCCATAATGTGTTGATGCTACTAAGAGCCAAGAATAAAATCTTTAACAAGCAAAGAGCTGAAGCTCAAAATGAACAAAGAACTACACTATAGAGGCTTCGCAAGCCAACCCCTAAGATGAGGAAATTGAGAACCAAAGGGGCAAGGAAGCCGTCTCAGGAGAAGGGCAGGTTCAGACTCCTGCCTGCACCGGCAGCCTTTCCATATGGAGCCAGTGCTCCCAGTCCAAGGAGAGCGTCAAGATGTATTCATTATGACAGATGCAGCTTGGAGAGACTATTTTAAACCTAATCAAGAACAAGACAGGTCTAATTACAACAGCTATTTTCACTTTTTTAATAAAAATGAAACCCAATCACCTCTGGCAAGAGAACCACCATAAGGCCTAACTGAGGTCAGCAATTTTACCCCTGAACACAGAACCCAGCAGAGTGGAGCAGACCTCAGTTAGGGGCCAGGAGGCAGTCTCAGTGGGATACAGTGGGACCATGGGAGGGTAAGAAGTCCTGGGCCTTAGTAAAAAGATCAGTAGTTGCTAGGGGCTCAAGGTGGGAGGAAGGGATGATCTGGTAGAGCATGGGATTTTCAGGGCAGTGAAACTATTCTGCGTGATACTGTAGTTAGTGGTGACTACACGTCATTATATACTTGTTAAAACTCATGGAATGTACAACACAAAGAGTAAACCCTAATGTAAAATATGGACTTTAATTAATAATAATGCATCAATATTGGGTGAAAAAAACCAGTCTTGGGTCTTCATTCAGTACCACCTCCTTGGGCAAATCACCACCTCAGCTTGGGTTTCTCATGTGCAAAATGGGGACACTAATCTGTGCTGCTACCTCATTGGT